CCAGAAGCAGACTGTCACACCTTTCTCCTGACACACCACTGAGTGGACTCAAACTACCCGTTCAGTCACCAGCCAAGCACAGTAACTATTTGTACCACCCAGAAATAGCTCAATACAATATTCATGAACTTATACCCACTTCCTTTCAAACTTTCCTCCATTTTGTACTTAACACATTTTCAGGCAAGTAGAATAGACTCCCTAAATTACTGCAGACAGATTTCATTAGGAACTGTCCTACTAAATAAAGTACTGATAATTAAGCCAATAATCTTAGGCTGCTAAAGCAACTCCAATGACTGAAAACATCGTATAATCTAAAATCTCCTTTATATAACATTGAGTGCTGTGGGTAATGATCTTGCATATCTGTTATCTAAAATAAACAACCCGAAGGTAAGCTGCCTGAGAGCAGGGCCCAGGGTGTTCCTGTTTGCCACAGTAGTCTCCAGGCCTAGAAAAACACCTGGCTGATTACAGGGCCTCAGTATTGGTTTAATAAACATAAAAACTGGAGTACTGAAAAATTCAGTGTTTCTTGAACAATTATTGCTGTTACGTCCCATTGAGTCAGTTCTGACCCACAGAGACTTCGTATAGCGTTTCTGATGCTGTTAATATTTTGGGGAGCAGAAAGCCTCATCTGTCTCCCTCAGAGCAGCTGGTGGGCTCAAACCACCAAGCTTTGTTTGGTTCACAGGCCAGTGCTTATCCTACAGAGTAACTGAGCTCCCAATTAAATTCTGAAATGTTGTTGCTGTTGTTGGTAAATGCGATCAAGTCAGTTCTAGACTCTCAAACCAAGTTCGCAGCAACTCCTTTATCCTTAATGTAGTCAATACATAATTTTTATGGTGAGATAAAAACTATTCTATCCCTTTTCTTAATTAACTAGAGCTGCCAACACAGAAATGCCACAAATGATTGGCCCTGTGTAGTGCTGGAGGATAAGCACTGGACGACTAACCACAAAGTTGGCAGTTCAAACCCACCAGCTGCCCTATGTAGGGCTGTTATGTATCAGAAGGGACTTGATGGCAATTAGCAATAAAACACCAAGTCCTTGTATTTTCTCACAGTTCAGGAGGCTAGAAGTGTAAACTCAGAGCATGGCTCTAAGAGAAGGTCCTGCCTTCTATTTCAGTTTCTAGTATCTGCCAGCAACTTGGTGTTCCTGAGCTTGTAGATGTATCTGTCTCTAGTGTCCGGCTTACCTTTTAACATAAAAAGGAAACTAAAAAAAGAGATAAGTAAAAAGCGATTACATCCAGTTTAGTTGGCTTGGAGTCATACAACTGTATGTGTGGCTATGTCTAGTCTGTTCTTTTGAGAATTAGATTTAGGATCCACCCTATGAGGTATGTCTCATTAACATAACAAATGAAATTATCTCCCAAAAAGGATCGCTTCCACCAGTACAAGAGTCAGGAATTCAATCTCTAGATACTTATCCCAAGAAGTCCTTTTGGGAAGCAACCCTGTGAATTCTAGAAAAGAGCTTTTTACTCACTTGCTGCCATGTTAGCTTCAGTCTTTCATACTGTTCCTTGCCATCTTCTGAACAATCACAGCAAGTAAATCTAAAAAAATTATCACCCTTAAGATAACTGATCTGTTCCCTCAGCTGACCTAGGAGAAAAACAAAAAGTTACACCATAAGTTTATCTAGGTAGCAGCAGTAACCCAGAGGCTTAATCAACTTATCACAATTTCTAAGTTTCCCATGCTGTATATTTTTTTTTCATCCAACTCACAATAGCAGAGGATGGGAGTGGGGGGCAAGGATTCAAAAGAAAAGGCTGAACTGGATTTTTCCAGCTATTGCCTTCCAGACCCCTACAGGAAGGTCTCTTCACACATCCTTTCCAAGCACTGGACTAGGAAGTAGGAATATAATGCACAAGACAGACACAGTGCCTGCTCTCCCTGGCTTCCAAATCCTATGAGGGCTACATGCATGCAGCGTTTCTCCATCCTCACCAAGTGTCTGTCACTGAGGGAGTTTCTTTTATATCTTTTCATTCCTAAGCTCACCTCAGGTATCTTGGTGTGGTGCTGTGGGATATAGCACTGGGCTACAAGGTTGGTCTGAACCACAAGGTCGGTGGTTCAAACTCACCAGCTGCTCCTTGGAGACCCTATACAGGGTTGCTGTGATTCAGAACTGACTCGCTGGCACTTAACAACAGCAACAACAAAGCTTACCTCAAATGAACTAAATCGATCTCTGGGAATGAGGTATGATGCCTCTGTAGTTTTAAAAGTTCCCCAGGTGATGCTGATATTCAGAGAACTAGAATGTGGTAAAGGACTTAAAACACTTAGATGGATGAAGATCAAAGACCATAGCCTTCCTTATGGGTTTACATCTCAATGTAAAGAAAACAAAAGTCCTCACCAATGGACCAATAAACAATGTTCATATAAATGGAAAAAAGACTGAAGTTGTCAAAACTTCACTTTGCTCAGATCAACTATCAACACTCATGGAAGACTCAGTCAAGAAATCAAATGACGTATTGCATGAGACAAATCTGCTGCACAAGACCTTTTTATAGTGTTGAAGAGCAAAGACGTCAGTTTGAAGACTAAGGTGCAACTGATCCAAGCCATAGTATTTTCAATAATCTCATATGCATGCAAAAGTTGGACAGACCATAGAAGAACTGATGCATTTGAGTTATGGTATTGGAGGAGAATATTGGAAGTACCATGGATTGCTAAAAGAACAAATAGATCTGTGTTGGAATAAGTACAGCCAGAGTGTCCCTTGGAAGCCAGGATGGCCAAACTTCATCTCTCATACTTTGGACATATTATCAGGAGGGCCCAGTCCCTAGAACAGGACATTATTTGGTAAAGTAAAGGGTCGGAAAAAAAGAGGAAGCCCCCCAACAAGATGGATTGGCACAGTGAAGGCAGCCACGGGCTCAAATGTAGCAATAATAGTGAGGTTGGCCCACGACTGGGCAGTGTTTCATTCTGTTGTGCACGGGGTTGCTATGAGTCGGTACCAACTTGTTGGCACCTAACAACAACAACAGAATGTGGTTATGTGTCATAGAGTAATGTGAGATACATAGTGGGGGTGCCCAAACTATACTACAGGAAAGCTTGGAAAAGTGAGGTTGTTGGGAAACTAAAGGATGACTAGGAACTGGCCAGATGAAGAGGGGTGTCTGTGTGGATGGAGTGGCATGAATGCTGTGGAGTTACCCAGTGAAGGAAATAAAAACATGCATGCAAAGACCAGGGGCCAAGAAAGAACTGTTTGTGGAGAATTACAAGCTTAGCCTGACTGCAATGTTCAGTTTATGTCTGGGGATGGGGAGAGTTTAAGAAGGTAGCAGGACCGAACACCCTATAAATTCAATACAGCACTTTAAAATGTATCCCATGAGGACAAGGGGAAAGTCATGGAAGTGTTTAGGCAAAACTTTTCATTAATAATCAAAGAGCTCAAAAGCAAAACTGAGCTAATAAGTAGTAAATTCTGGATTTGTTTTCCATGAAACTGTTACTATTAACAGTAACAGTTGAATTCACTTAACAAAAACATTTTCACGTACCAAGAAATGACCTACTTCAAAACACAACATATATAAATTTGTGTGACCCAGTTACAGAACCTACTACACAAAGGATTTCTCTAGCACATCTTTACCAGTCTCTGCCTGTTACAAAAATCCAATCTTGGTATGAATCAGAGATGGCAGGCAAGGTATGCTCTTGAGAGCCAGGATCTAGCAGATGAGCATCTCAAGCCAGAGCCATCAGGTGAGAGGAGGCATATCTCTTGTCAACAGATCAAGGCCAGCAAAAAAAGGAAAACAAGACTAGTTCTAGAAAATGGTCAAAGAACATCTTCAACCTACTAATCTGACCTAACTTCAGCATGCAATTAATACTAGCTAATCTAATATATGGAGTCCTAGTGTGGTGCTGTGGGTTAATGCGCCAGACTGCAAAGCCGTTTGAACTGCAAGGTCGGCGGTTCAAGCTCACCAGCTGCTCCTTGGAAACCCTATACAGGGTCGCTATGGGTTGGAATTGACTCGACGGCATTTAACAACAACAACAATCTAATATATAATTTAGATTAAATATTATATGAATTTGAACTTTAATTCAACACTGCAAGAAAATTGGCTCTAATTCTGCAACATGACATTAGAAAAATGTGCCTAATTTTTTAGGAACACAGGATTCCTAATTTCCTCATTTTTACTGGGTTACCATTAAGTGTACTAATTTAACAATGTAACAGAAATTGACTAATTTTTATAGTTACAGCTATGTCTATGTTATATATAAATTTATGGCTGGTCAACTAAATAAGCAATAATTGTCCTTTTATTAAGATTTATTTTATAGTTATGTTCCTTTCACAGGTTGGAACACAATAGGAATTGACAAATTAAAGGAATTGAGAAGTTGCTTACTGGCTGGAATCCACTTTTGGCACTTGTCACAGAAGTAGGACAGCTGCTCCTCCATCCAAGACACATCTCCTTCATCACTGTTGAGGGAATCCCCACTCTGATCATGAGATAAGTCCACCGATGCCTGGTCCTCGGACTCTACAATCAGAAGAGTCTCTCCTTCCACTTCCCCCTCCTCCAGACCTTCAGAGGTAGATGTTCTTGTGGCTTCATCATCATGTCGACTGATCAGGCTACCCAGGTGGATATTACTATCCATGCCTCCGCACTGATTCAAAAGTGCTTTTAAGTAACAATCCCAAGCTCTGGACACTGAGCTTAAAGAGATTTCTATCAGTATCATACAACTAGAAACCCTTTAGTAGAACATCTGCCTACAAACATAAGGGACTTTTAAAGCATTCATTTAAAAATATATAATCCTTTGTTCTTTATTCGGTCAATTTGGTCTAAAAGGATGGTGACGAAAAAAAGGTTGAAGATGTCACTAAAATATTCACTATCTGAACAGAACACACAGACACATTCAGGACCATCTGTCCCATCAATATTTCATACTCATTTCAAGTCATGGTTTTTGAGATCTTTTGTCAATAGCATCTTCTCTCCTTCAGCTTCAAGTTTCTCAGTCAAAATAATCTGTTCTCCCAAAAGACGGATGTTTTCCTTTTTCCGATTTTGCCTCTCAATATCTCTGATCACTCCATCACGAAGTCTCTAAAAGGAAAAATAAAAAATTACTTCTGTAACACCCTCAACAGGTGGCTTCCATTCTTGTGCCATTTTAATCAAAAATAACAGTGTTACCAAATACACTAAAACTTTCAGATTCTAAATACTAAGAGAACCCAATTTTCACTTTGTGTACAAATATAAAATATAATTAAAAAAAAAAATCAAAATTAATGCCTAGCAAAGCTGTCCCTCAAACACAACAGCAAAATTAGGATAACTCCAGATAAACAGAAATTAGAGGAATTTGTAGTAACAAGACCAACTTTACAGAAAATACTAAAAGGTGTTCTTTGGACTGAAAACCAACAAAAGCAGGCAATAATAACGTAAGACCAATATACATTACAACATCACCCAGAAGTCAATCCAGATATAGAAGTTTTTAAAGTAAAACAAACCTATAACAAAACAGGGAATCAGAGACAGCAATTCATAATGAAGTTAACTACAAAGCAAAAAAAGGGAATAGTAATGACTAGGAAGTCAAGTAGATTTCAAGATAAAACAGACTGCTTTAAGTGGGGGAAAAATTAATAAATACAGGGTAACCTCAAAGTAAATTAATACTTCACATCAAAATAAGAGAAAAATCATAAAGGTTTATAGCAAATGTTAACAGAAATGAAAATGAAAAGAAAAATGAACAAAATGACCCCAGCACAGAAAATTATGTGTTACAAAGAAACCAGCACCACCCCCACAAAAAACCACACAGCAAAATGACAGCAATCAATTCAAATCTATTAATTTCATTGAAAATAAATGGATTAAATGTGCCAGTCAATAGACAGAGAGAGCAGAATGGATAATAAAAACAGAATTCTTGAATATATTGTCTACAAGAGACACATTAAAGAAGCATGGAGACAGTCTAAATGCCCATCAACAGAAGAACAGTTAAACTTTGGTACATACACAAAATGGAATACTCTGCAGTGTTGAAGAATAATGATGAATCTGCAAAACACTTCTGGAGGACATTATGCTGAATGAATTTAGTCAATCACAAAAGGGCAAACATGGTATTAGAACACTGTTGTAAATAGTTAAGAAAAGGCTTTCATGATAAAAGAAACCTTATATGATGGTCCTGGTGTGGTGCTGCAGGGTAATACACGACCTTATTCACGAGCTAGAGGGTAGACACATGTTAACTTGGGTGACAGGGCAGGCAATATACAGCAAGAGGGAGGCTGACAGAGGAAAAATTAAAGGTAGTGGGAGACACAAGGAAGAATGCAATAGTTAATATTAAAAGAGGTAAATATTGCTAAATGATGGTACATGGAGGAGATTACAGCCATTATAATGAAGCAAAGTATCTGATTTGTTGAATGGAAAGCTGATGATCTGCTATGTAAACCTTCACTCAATTTACTATAAAAGGTTTGGGTTTTTTTTTACATCAAATTAATTTGGCAATGTCTTGTTATTAGTGAAATGACTTATCATATTTTAAGAAATGATTGAACACATAGTGCAGAAAATAGGAAATGACAAGAAAGAATAAAAACATCTGGTGTCCTGGTATCGGGTTTCAGGATAAGCTGCATTAACAACATGTCAGTAGTTCAAACCTACCAGCTGCTACTCAAAAATCTTACATAGGGCTGTTATGAGTCAGAACAAACTCCATTGCACTTCACCAACACCACCAATATCACAATATTAAAGTTTAAAATAATTTTATAGGATACTAGATGCTTTACACTGGTAGCGTAGTGGTTACAAATCGGGCTGCGAACCTTAAGGTCAGCGGTTCGAAACTACCAGCCGCTCCGCGGGAGAAAGATGAGGCTTTCTACTCCCGTAAAGATTTACACCCTCGGAAACCCTGTACAGGGTCGCTATGGGTCGGACCCGACTCGATGGCACTTAACAACAACAACAAGATGCTTTACACACTTGATGAAACTTACTACAGTAACTGTGAACTACTTTTCCTGTTAGCAATTAATAGTTGAATAATAAATATCTGCAGGAAAAAAAAAAAAAGATTAATAAAATCTGAACAAACTCTAAGGGTACAAGAAAGACCCTGGCTGCTTCTAATATGTAAAGAGAAAGTAAAAATTGTACAAAAATTACTAATTAATTTAACAGGGAGAGAAGAAGAAGAAAAGACAGCTACTACCAGAGGGAAACAAAAGCTCATCAATGTTCGTTATCTAGATAAGCATGCAAAAGGTAGGCACCAAAAATGACCCTTTAAAAAACACCAATTCAGTATTACTAACAACTAACACAGCATACAGTTTACAGAATACCAGTACAACTATTTAATAATAGTCTTGTAATGTAAGGAGTCCTGGTGTGATGCTGTAGGAGAAGCACTGGACCAAAAGTTTGTTTGAACTGCAAAGTCAGAAGTTCAAACTTACCAACTACTCCTCGGAACTGACTCTATGGCACTTAACAACAACAACAACAAAGGTAGAATTACTGGGAATTTGGCCCAGGTCCTGGATTTTTTTATTGTAAGCACTGGACTGCACACTACAAGGTTGGTGATTCAAGCCCGCAAGTCACTCTGCAAAAGAAAGATGAGGCTTTCTGCTCCTACAGAGATATAAAATCTCGGAAACCCTATACAGGGTCACTATGAGTTGGAACCGACTTAACAACAACACTTAACAACAAAGAACTTAACAACAAAGCACTTAACAACAAAGAACAACGTTTTAAAAACTTAACAAGTACTATGTTCCTGGACCTCTTCTACTGCTAAACTTCTTTTAAATTATGAAATAAGTGGGAAATTTAAGAATCTGAGATTGATATTTCAACTAAAAACTGATCTAAACCCTAAGAAAACAGTCAAATCCACGGCCACCAAGTCAATTCCGACTCAGAGTAACCCTGTAAGAGTTTCTAAGACTATGAATCTCTATAGGAGTAGACAGCCTTATCATTCTTCCTTGGAGTGGCTGGTGAGTTTCATCAGTCACCTAGCAGTTAGCATCTCAATGCCTACAGTTGACACAGTGCCACCAGGGTTCACCTTTGAATTATCTCCACTAACTGACATAGGAAATAGATCCAATTATTCCATCTGCCCCCACCCATACACAGTTCTTCATGCCCAGAACATGACACACGTATACACGCCAGCCCACCCCACCTACTGGAACCATTCTTTCCACATCTGCCTCAGAGGTCCTAGCATTCTTTTCTCTGAGACTAGCACGTGACGTTTGGTTCTGCTCTCAATGCCATCATTTGCAGCTTTCTCCAGATTTCCAGGTCTACGCTTACAGCATCACACATCCTTCCCTGGGCCTCTACCTCCTCCCTTTAAAAACACACAAAACAAAAAGAAACAGTTGGCTTCAGACAGATTCTGACAAATGGCAACCCCATTTGTGTCAGAGTACAACTGAGCTCCATAGGGTTTTCAATAGCCTTTCTCAAGTACATGGCCAAGCCTTTCTTCCAAGGTGCCTCTGGGGAGATTTGAACTGCTAACCTTTCAATTAGCAGCTATTTAAATATTTGTGTCACTCGGGGACCCTGTGAAGATTAAAGATGTGTCTAAAGTGCTAAGTATTGGTAGACAGCCAAACCCACTGCCAGTCAAGAAACACATTTTTTTTAAGGGCATAATAAAAAACAATATCCATTCTTAAGCCTTTGGACACACACACCTCGCCAACCACTTGTCCTAGTCTAATCAATGACTAGATGAGATATCAAAGAAACAAAGGTTAGTCTGGTTAATCTTATTTTTAACTCCCAAATAGTTCACAGGAGGGATTCTTAATATGAGGAGGCTTCAAAAAATTTGTGGGAAACTTCCACTATCTTTTCATTCCCTTTTCCATGAACTTTTTGAAGCTCCCCCGCATATTCTGCTCTTTCATTCCCTAACACAGTGGTTTCTCAACGCTGACTGAATATTAGAATCTCTTGGTTCACTTTTAAAACCTATCTTAACCAGGTTCCCATACCCATGAATTTGTCATTTATCAGGTCTACGTTGGGCTCCCAAGGCTCAGTTATATATACAGCAAAAAATTCCCAGGTACATCTGATATGTGTAGAACTAAGTTCGTATCCATTCTTGTTCTGAAAAACCACTGGCTTCACTGACCTTTGAACTATATCTGATATACCTGCAACACATCTTCTACTCCATCTCCTATTTCTTCTTGATCATCATCCTTTCCTTTGTAGAGAAGGGAGTCTCCTGACTCTACTCCAAAAGCTACCCCTCACATTGTTTTCATTCCAAATCTCCAAGTCTCTTCCCTGCTGTTTCATCATTTATCACCTTATCTCCCTTCCTCAGAATTCTTGTGCCATCACCCCCTTCCCCTTCAACTTCTACAGATGTAATCTCAGAGAACGACAAGCTTCTGTTTTATTTGTGTAAACCTAGAACATAAGTTTACAGGATTGCACACAGCAGCAATTCTAGAGAGGGCTGTTTATTCCTGATTCATTTCTTTACTTCCATCCTTGGTAAATACCTGCCAAGGTGTTATGTGAAAGTCTGCCAAAGACCTAGTCTCGGGTTCTCACAGTCAAATTTCTGCCCTGCTGCGATATTTGAGAAGCTGTTTTCTTATCGTTGTATTAAAAAAATGCCTAGTGGTGTCCTGGCACACCGCAGTCATTAAACGTTTACCAACTTGAATAAGGAAACATGAAGTAAGAGAAACAGACTGGAAGGTCAGTCCACCGGTCAACAAGTCACTATTTCCAGGAAAAAAGAAAATCTGGAAGGTGGTATTTCCATTGTTCCTACAATCTACAGTTTCCATAGCAAATTGACCTTTAGTGCGTCTGGGTGTGGAGAACATTAACTTAACACACCCCAAAGAAACCTTTTTCCCGCCCTCTGACGCTGTAGGATAAGCACTAGACTATTACCCACAAGGTCGGCAGTTTAAAACAACGAGCCGCTCCTCAGAAATCCTACGCAGGGTCACTATGAGTCCGACCTGACTCCACGGCACTATACAACAAATTTGTAGCGATGCGTTTCAATGCTTGCGTATGATTTGAAAACAGAACCGCTACGCATCCAAAAGCCCGCGTTCTGGGAACAAGGCAACTTTTGCCCAAAGGGCCAGATCCCAGGCGGAGGTCGGTACTAGGGTTACCCTAAGTTTCCAGGAGGCACAGGGGCCACGGCGGGGCGGGAAGCAAGGAGGACCAAGAGGAGGGTGCCATGGAGAGACTCGAGGAGGAGCAGGGGGATCACGCGAAAAGACCGGGAGAGGCCCACAGGCCGCCGCCACTAACTGGCCCCAGAAAAGCACGTGACACCGACCTGCTGGTCCTGCCGCTGCTTCAGATGCACGCCAGCCACGGTGGCCGCCGTCAGCAACACCGACAGGCCTAGCACCGCCTTGGAGGTCCTCGACATCCCCGCGCCAGCAGCCGGGGATCTTTCTCCCGGATTCCAAGACACCCGGGAAGCAGCCAATCGCACACCATTACCCGTTTGGGCCAGGCTCGATCCCTCGAGCGTAGAGCTCTAGCCGCTTAGTTTGTCGCCTCCGGCGCCAGGCCTGAACAATCGAGAGCCGAGCACCGTGCAGCGCCCTGCACTGGAAGATGAGCGGTTTCCTGAGAGCACGCAGGGACGAACTCACTCGGTTTCCTGGAAGGGTCCAGGAATAGGAGGGTCGCAGGATTGGAACACACCCTATCGTGTCCCCTCCCGTGAGCAACAGCACCTTGTCAGGTCGGAGGTCCGGGGCCTGAGCCGTTCTAGCCTCCAGCCCGGAACGGCGCGGGGTACCGGGCAGAGGCAGGACTCTCACTGAGGCACCCTGTTACGGGTCTCCTGTCCCATCGCTTTTGAGCGTCGGGCTGGCCTTTTGCTCCATACCAGCTTTTACTTACACGCAGTTGCTTTGTTTAGCAGCTTCTGACACGCGGGATGGGAGTCAAGTTTTGCTTCGAGAGCCATAATTACACATGTTCGACACGGTCGCCTGCGTTCACCCTGTCGCTGTCGTGTGGCTGGGTAGGCACTAGTATTCCTTAAAATGCTGGCAACTTTTCGCTAAAGAAGCGCCTTACTTGACATGGGGCACCTTGCCTGCTGAAGTGAAAAGCGTTGGGCCAGCATTTAGGAAACTTGCCTGCTCCGTCCTTGCCCTTGTAATCCTTAAAGATTACTTTTACACCCTGTGAGCCTCAGCTTCTATCAGTAAAACAAGATTACTAGTGCCCACATTACTAAAACAATAAATGACACAATGAATTAATGCGTTGGGACTAGGAAGGTACCATGCAAAGCATCATTTTTTACTTAGGCGCTGTAGGATAAACACTGGACTGCTTATCGTGAAAGCAACTGCCACTCCTCGGAAACCCTATACAAGGTCACTATGAGTTTGAATTGACTCTATGGCCCTTAACAACAGGGTAAAAAAACAGGTGTGGTTTCCCGAAAACATAAATCATTAAATCAAAAGCAAACCAAATCCACTGCTATGGATTCGTTATAGGAGCAGACAGTCTCATTTTTCTAGAATCACCCACAGACCTTGCAGTTAGCAGCCCACTCCTAACCCAAACCACTATCAGGGATCCTTACTAAATGCAGAGCAAATCATTAAATCACTGTTTACCTAGAATTCATAGAGACATCTAGTGTAACAGATAAGGACAATATTGATTATGACTAGGTCTTAACTGGTGTAACTCAAAGACTTCAACATTTATCTTTGTTAATTGTTGCTAGGTGTTGGAATCCGTTCCAACTCATTGACCTTATGTATAACAAAATGAAAGCGCCTTCCTTGCCTAACCTTTGGATCCTGGCTTTGAGGTGGGGTCAATCAACTTAGAGACCCACAAGCGCAGCCCAAAGCATCTCACTACAACTCAGTCACCCCTGCTGCATTTCTGCCTCTTGATTGACATTCGAGGACTGAAATCCCACCTTTGAGCCGGACTTAAGGGCCCTAGCACAAGGATATTCCTATTTAACAGCAACCACGCAACTGCCACTCGTTGGTCTGTCATGCTGTGGTGGTTTGAATTGCTGTGATTCTGAGGGCTATGCCACCAGTATTTTAAATAACCAGCAGGGTCACCCATGGTGGACAGGTTTCAGATGAGCTTACAAACAAAGAGAGACTAGGAAGAAAGAGTGACAAACTACTTCCGAATCGCTAGTCACTGAAAACTCTATGAATAGAGAGAAACACTGTCAGATACAGGACTGGAAGGTGGGAAGGCACTCAGAATGCGACTGGGAAAAAAAATGCCAACTCAAAGTAGAGTTGACCAAGTTGACCACGATGACGTGAATAGAGTTAAGCTTGGGGGAGAAATGCTCAGAGAAACTTCATTTGCTAATGGGCCACAAATCAAACTGAAGAGAAACAGCTGTAAACATCCATTGAAAATAGGAACATGGAATGTACGAAGTATGAATCTGGGAAAATTGGAAGTTGTCAAAAATGAAATGGAA